GCCAGTACCCTGCTGTCATGATAATCAGAGCTTTGTAATATAGCTTGAGGTCAGGCATTGTGATGCCCCCATGTTTGTCTTTCTTTTTCAACATTCCCTGGCAATTTGGGGTGTTTTCTTGTTCCATTCTAATTTTAGGATTATTTGTTCCAGCTCAGTAAAAATAAGTTAATGGTATTTTGGTAAGGATCGCATTGAATGTATAGATTGCTCTATGTAGCATAGACATTTTAACAGTATTGTTCTCCTAATCCATGAACATGTAATGTTTATCCATTTCTTTGTCTTCCTCAATTTCTTTCATGAGTGTTCTAAAGTTTTCCCGAGTATAGATTCTTTACTTTTTTGGTTAAGTTTATTCCTAGGTGTCTTACGGTTTATGGTGTAACTGTAAATGGATTGACTCCTTAATGTCTCTATCTTCTGTCTCATTGTGTATAGAAATGCAACTGATTTATGTGAATTGATATTATATCCTGCCACTTTGCTGAATTCCTGTATGAGTTTTAGGAATTTGGGGGTGGATGTATTCTTAAACACATATAAACTACCAAAACTGAAACAGGAAGAAATAGAAAGCCTGGACGGACCCATAACCAGCAAGGAAATTGAAGCAATAATCAAAAGTCTCCCAACAAACAAGAGTCCAGGGCTTCCCAGGGGAATTCTACCAAACATCTAAAGAACTGTTACCTATTCTTCAGAAGCAGTTTCAAGAAATAGAAGTGGAAGGAAAACTTCCAAACTCTTTCTATGAGTCCATCATTACCTTGATCCCAAAACCTGAACAAAGAACCCACCAAAGAGAATTATAGAGCAATATCCTTGATGAACATAGATGCAAAAATTCTCACCAAGATACTAGCCAATAGGTTCCAAAAGTACATTAAAAGGATTATTCACCCTAACCAAGTGTGATTTATTCCTGGGCAGCAAGGGTGGTCAAACATCTGCAAATCAATGTGATCACTATATTAATAAAAGAAATGAAAAGAGCCATATGATCCTCTCAATAGATGCAGAAAAAGCATTTGACAAAATATAGCATTCTTTTTTTTTAGATGAAAATATTCTTTATTTCTTGAGAGGCATGGACCCTCCCAGGCTCTGATAATACCTTTTCACATTCTGGACCAATTCGTTTGTATGCACTTTTTAATTACAGGTATTTATTTTATGTGTGGGTTCTGCCATCTCTCTTTTTTTTCTTTCTCTGCTTTACTTATTTCACTTAGCATAATCCCCTCCAGTTCCATCCATGTCAATGCAAATGGGTATTATTCACAACTAATGAATCACTGAACACTACATCAAAAACTAATGATGTACTATACAGTGGCTAACTGAACATAATAAAAAATATATAGCATTCTTTCTTGATTAAAACTCTTCACAGTGTGGGGATAGAGGGAACATACCTCAATATCATAAAAGCCATGTATGAAAAGCCCACAGATAATATCATGTTCAATGGGGAAAGACTGAGAGTTTTTCCCCTAAGGTCAAGGACACATCATCAATGTCCACTATCACCACTGCTGTTCAACGCAGCACTAGAAGTACTAGCCTCAGCAATCAGACAACAAAAAGAAATGAAAGACATCTGAATCTGCAAAGAAGAAGTCAAATTCTCACTCTTTACAGATGACATGATACTCTATGTCAAAAATCCAAAAGATGGGTCTTTTTCTTGCTGTCCTCTTGGGGCTTATGGCGTAACTGCCCCTTGCCCATAATATTGACAAATGCTTTGTGTTTGTCTTATTTAGGACGTTTTGAAGAAGTCATTTCTGCAAGGGCTGCAAAGCAATATATCAGTGAGCTCCTGTCTAAGCTTCAGAACAGGATCTCAAAGCTATTTTATTTTAGCTGTCCTGACTCCACATTTTCTTGTTGGAGACCCTGGCCCAGACTACCTAATTGTCCAAGTAACTCCTAACATCAAGACATCAACATCACCTGGGAACTTGTTAGAAATGCAGAATCTCTGGGCTACCCAGGGAGCTCTGATGAGATTCTACATTTGTAGTGGGATCCATGTGGATTCATAGCACATTGAAGTGGAAGAGATGCTGGTCTAGATGGATTTCTCAGCATTTATGGTTGACATCTGTGGCAGGATAATAAAACTGTAAGGGTGCTTTCCTTTGAATTATAGGTGTTTAGCGGCATCCCTTCAGTGAGAACCACTGCCCCAGAGCTTGAGAAGTAGAGGCATCCTGACAGAATGACACTCAAGGCCACCACATATTCAGATATTAAATGTGGACAGATCACTAGGCAGCACCAAGCAAGGAGTTTATAAATGTACTTCCTTGGGGATAAGATGTTTATAAAAATTAAAACAACACATATGAGATGTGAAGGTCATGTTATAATACATGAAAAGATCTAAACACACCTGTTATAATAAACAATCATTTTATGACAAAGGACTATGTGGCAGCTCTTAACTTGTATAAAGTAAGAAATTCCTAATTGTAACAGCAAACATCTACTGAAGCCAATGTGTGTAGTGGCCAAGACTTATTATCAAAAGAACACACTTCTCCGCCTAATTGAGAAGAAGAACAGACCATATGTGGAGGTAGCAGGGCTGGGTCCCCAACACAAGTCAATGCTTTGAAGATAAAGAAACCTAATCAAGGAGAGTTACTGGGTTTTAGACATGGAAAAAACTATAGCTTTGAGCTGAAGTAAGATGCTAGGAGATTCACACAGCAAGATGACAACAAGGTCAAGGAAAAGGGGTAAAAAAAACCCAAAGCTGGATTCCTGTGACCTCTAATCTAGTCTTTTGGGAACCAAGATTCGTTAGGAAAACATCCTTTCTGTCCAGAGAAATTTTCCACTTGGGAATCATGTGCATAGAGGCTGGAGTCACAAGAGGGAAATGTGCCTAATGAGCAGATACAGGGAGTTGTAAATACCTCCTCATCTCCAGTCTGTCAGCCCGGGCAACCTTGGACAGGAAGGGCCATGCTTCTTGTCTGTTTGTTCCAAGTCTTAATTCTGGCTCGGGGCCTATGTTTCACTCCTTCCTGCTGCCTTGGCTGAGGACAGAGTTTTAGTCCCTATCATCTGTCATCCAGGGGGAAATTTAGACTTCCACAACAACACCTTCCTGTCAGACACCCCAGCCAGGTGAGTCCAACACCCCAGTGGACCGTGGATGTCAGGGTCAGAGAGAATGGAAGCCAAGAACATTGACCCATCATCACTTGAGAGCTGATTCAACTTAGCCCAGAATGAGTGATCCCTATGTTTTTTTGGTTTCCCGGATTAAGTTATTAATGTATTTATTCAGTGCTAATGTCAATTTCACAAGTGACAGCTACTCACACTTTTGATGGTCTTTCATATTCTTTATCATTAAATTGCTATTATAGCAATGTTACAAAAAGTATGTTGAGATTGTTAAACTCAATGTGTGGATCTAATCAGGTGTGATCATAAATGTGTGTGTGATATGATATCCACAGACAGAATGATATGAAGCAAATTATTGAGTACAAAAAGATAGAATTGTCATGGTGTGGGCAAGATTTATAGACCAATGTCTGGGGATGCCTTTGCACAATGGACAAAATCCAGCATGAGGACTAGAGCGTGCCCATTGGGTTTGTCAAAGGAGAGATCAATACCCAAAGCCCAAGAATGTCAATAAGAGATGCCATATAAGAAAGGGGAGCAAGGGGCTAACCTCATCCCCTACAAGACCCCACAAAAATGAATTGGCCAAATAATGATGCAGGAGATACAGGAAAAATAAGTCTTCTATGTTTGATATAGAAATGCCCAACTTTTGTTGTATTGTGTACACTTCCTTTTGTGAAGTGTTGGTTTATCTGTTTCCTCATTTTTGGGAATGTACACTATTTGTATATATTTATTAATATTTATATATATTATTTGTCCATGGGAGGCTTAAGAACTGGCATTTCTGTTCTTTGTAGGGTAAAGATCAGTGATCTGGCCTACTTGGGTTGGATACATTCCTAGCATAACCAGGATGGAGGGGCTGAGAAAGACAGGAATAACACAACCCAGGAGGCCACGGTGTCCTGTGTGTGTGACCTGTAGTGTGTGAGCAGCCCCCACAACAGGGTGCCAGGACTCATAACTCCCAACATGACACAACACAGGGGCCAGAACTTGATCAACAGAGGCCACTAAGAAGGGGATCTTGTTCAATTCATGGGATGCCTTTGCAACACTATGAATGCAGTGGGAGAGGCAGTGTGGACAAGGAAGTCCTTGTGACTTGAGGGTTCAGAGGTAGCAGAGAGGCCACTTCCTTCCTCAGCATGTCTGACAGTGTCTCTCCCCAGTCTCCCTCCTGTTCATTCCCCTTGCAGCACTGGCTTTGCTTCTTTGACTTGAACCTTGGAAACAAGCACCTTCCTTGGGGCCTTTGCACTGGCCATTCCCTCTGCTGGGCATACATTTCCCCCACAATCCTTGATCTGCCTCCATCTCATACTTGAGATCTGTGTTCCAATGTCACCTTTTTGCACAATTGGCCTCCATACCCATGAAAATAGCACGCCCTATTCACTCTCTGCTTTATCCCTGCTTTCCTTTTCTTCATACCACCTGCCACCATCAGAAATGTAATTAATTTTCTTATTTGTTAATTTGTTCTTTCTCCATCATTGAGTGATAGGGACTTTTTTTTTCTCTAGCACCCTATACTCCTTGCCTATAGAATGCCTAAAACATTGCTAACACTCAATTTATATTTCTGAGATTTGGAATAATTTTTAAATTAAAACTGTGGAGTACATGGCTTTTTGGGAAAAAAGGGGATTGGAAGAAAAATACATCACTCTGCTGATACACGGGATTCATTGAAGGGGACCATATCCATGCACAACATACTGAAATGAATTTCTAGACTACAAAATATAAAAAGTAGCATTTGAAATCTGTGACTAATAAATGTTTGTTTAAGAATTAGTCATGCTATTTGCTTCTTTCCTTGAAGTCACCTCCACCACATGGGACCAGGCAATGATACACAAATTTCAGAGTTTCTTCTTCTTGGCTTATCAGAAGACCCAGAACTGCAACTCTTTTTATTTGGGCTTTTCCTCTCCATGTACCTGATCACTGTGTTTGGAAACCTGCTCATCATCCTGGCTGTCAGCACGGACCCCAACCTCCACACCCCCATGTACTTCTTCCTTGCCAACCTGTCCTTTGTAGACATCTGTTTCACTTCCACCACTGTCCCCAAGATGCTGGTGAATATACAGACACAGAGCAAAGTTATAACCTATGCAGGCTGCGTCACACAGATTTATTTCTTTATACTCTTTGCTGTCTCAGACTTCTTTATGCTGAGTGTGATGGCCTATGACCGGTTTGTGGCCATCTGTCACCCCCTGCACTACACAATCATCATGAATCCCCGGCTCTGTGGACTTCTGGTTCTGGTGTCCTGGATCACGTGTGTCCTGAATTCCTTATTACAAAGTTTAATGATGTTGCGGCTTTCCTTCTGTACACAATTCCAAATCCCCCATTTTTTTTGTGAACTCAATCAGATGATCCAACTTGCCTGTTCTGACACCTTTCTTAATAACTTGGTGATGTATTTTGCAGCTGTCCTGCTGGGGGGTGGGCCTTTTGCTGGGATCCTTTACTCTTATTCTAAGATTGTTTCCACTATACATGGAATACCGTCAGCCCTGGGTAAGTATAAGGCATTTTCCACCTGTGCATCTCACCTTTCAGTTGTCTCCTTATTTTACTGTACAATCCTAGGAGTGTACCTTAGCTCTGCTGCTCCCCAGAGCTCCCACTCAAGTGCAGTGGCCTCGGTGATGTACACGGTGGTGACGCCCATGCTGAACCCCTTCATCTACAGCCTGAGGAACAAAGACATGAAAAGGGCTCTGAAAGCATTCTTTGTGAAGGAGACGCTACATGGCCAATTGTCATAGGACTGAATATTTGCCTACAATTGCTTAATCTCAGGTTCCTGAGCAAAATTTTATTGGATAAATATTCATATTCATTTCCTACTACTATGTAAAATGACTATGTTAGTATTTAAACACATTTATGTTCTTAGCATTCAGGGGATCAGAAGCCTGAAATGGCTCTCACTGGGCTAAAAATATTTGCAAGACTTGGTTCATTCTGGAAGCTACAGGGAAGAATCTATTTACTTTTCTAAGCTCATAAAATAGTGTAAAAAATCTAAATATATTTCTTATAATTAAGAAATGCTTCACAATGAGGGACCAAATGACAACTCTTAATTTACAAGTATGATTCCTAATCATTTGGCAAACGTGTCATGAAGCTACGGGATGTCTTGCTCAAGGATTATATAACAAACAAACAAGAAACTTCGTTCTCCTTTTTGAAAAGGAAAACATTTTTTTATAGATGGCAGCACTTTGTGTCCACCACAAGTCAACATTTTGGAGATCCAAGGGATCTAACACAGACAGATTGCTCAGTCCTAGACTTTGGGGAAAAGTTAAAATCAGGGTTGGGATAAGGCACCAGGAGGTCTGAACTCTGGGAGCAGCAGAGTTCCCGAGGAAGGAGTAATTAACTCTGGATTCACCTGGATATAAGTTGGTCTGTTGGGAACACACAATCTCCAGGAAAAGTTTCCTTTGTGTCCACACCAGTGTCCCACAGGGAAATCATGTGCTTAGAGGTTGGAGGAGCAGGAGGGAAATGTGTCTCATGAACAGACAGAGGAGGCTCTAAATATCTCCTGTGTGGCAGTCCCTCTGTCTGTGCCACTGTGGGCTGGATGGGACCTGATTGTTGCTTCTGGAGTCCTAAGCTTGGCTGGGAGACTAACTCCAGCCTCTTTCCTGCTGGCTTGTGTAGGGACAGTTTAGTCACCATCATCCCCACCCAGGAAATTCAGACTGCCACAGGGAGATCTTTCCCTCAGAGTTGCCATTCAGGTGAGTCCCAGAGCCCAGAAGGTCCTGCAGGAAAGGGTCAGACACAATCCAAGCCAGGTGCATTGACCTGAGGTCGCCTGACAGCCACCAGCCTGGCCCAAAACCTAGAGATCTCTATGCTCATTTGCTTGCCTGATGAGCTGATTAATGGATTCATAGATGATGTTAAAGTAAGGAGTGAACATTGAGCTCAGCAGGACATGGGTGATTGTTGACAATGACATCGGGGGTGGGAGGCATAAAGTACTTCTAGTAACAATAGAACACAACCAGTGAGTTTTGCAGTTAAAGGGAGTAGGAATATTAGGGATGGAGGGATGTCCAGTGAAGTCAGGGCATTTTTTTTTGTCTTTAAATGCGGCATATTAGACTCTGTTTCCATATTGATGAGAAAGACCTAGACTGATTTATTGCTTGCAGATATGACCTTGCAACAGTAGTTTATGAGACATACATTTTTCACAGTGTCCCCTGTTACTCTGGGTATTCACATGAAAATAATGATCTGACAATGAAAATGATGTGAAGGAGCTTTGCTTTGCAATGATTTCATTACCCAGGGAGCTGAACATATTTATGGATTAGTTATTCATTGGTTTTCTGTATTGTACATTTCTTTACCAGGTCTTTGCATTTGTACAATGGAGTCAGAGGTTTTTTTTTTTTTTAAAGATTTTATTTATTTATTCATGAGAGACAGAGACAGAGAGAGGCAGAAGCAGAGGGAGAGGGAGCCCGATGCAGGACTCGATCCCAGGATCCTGGGATCATGACCTGAGCCGAAGGCAGACGCTCAACCGACTGAGCCACCCAGGCGTCCCTGGAGTCAGAGGTTTTTTATTCCCATTTTTTATTGCATTCTTTCAAACAAGAAATTGGAGGGGGGGTTGTTTTTATTTTACCAACTTTGCTGTTTGCATTGAGTTCTCTTGTGTATGTATAGACGTATATGCGGAAAATTGTGTATTAGTAATGTGGTTATATGGTGTTCTCTATATTGCTTTTTTGATTTATTATCCATCCTGAAAAATTGAGCTGTCACTAATATTCTTCACTTGCCAATCCTTGCAATAAACAAAATGAAAATAAATGTTAATTTGTACACTGAGTGCTAATAAATCACCTCTATACGTATTTCTCATTTGTTTTTGCACATCTGTCATTCCACATCAGGGTCCTTTTGTCTCTTTGTGATGAGATCCATTTCTAAAAGTTGCATCATCTTTGACCATCATCTCTTCTTTACATTTGACTGAAGATTGCCTTTAGCTTCCATAAGCACATTTTAATCCATATATCTTTATGTAAGAAAAAATTTATCACTTAGAGAGTGCTTCCTCCCAGTTGTAAATGTCATTCTCTCATATTCTTTTATTCCAAGTCTTTGGAATTTAAATCTGGAATTAGTGACTCACCTTGATAGCACACAATTATTCTTTTATGTCTTTATATACATTAGTTTTAGATTCTCATATAATTTTGTTTCAGACAGTTGTTTTGAAAACACTACACTTGACCTAATTTCATTCCTCCTGACAATCTTTATTCCTTAAGTTCTTAGTGTTTTTAAAACTTCTCTTCCTAGATGATGCACACATACACATTTATACACAATAAAAATGGATGAGTAGTATCCTGTGCTCATCATAAATGCTCTTTAGTTTTAGGGCAGTCTTTGTGTTCTATCTGTTTCCGTTCTTTCTTCTTTCTCAGTAATACATCATGGACTTGCCTCCAGTCAACTAGGGTAATGCTGATTCTTTATTTCAGGCTCTACATAATATTTCATGGTGTGGTTGTGTTACTCACACTTTGAAAGCATTTTCTTTCTCAGTTCATTGCTGTTATAACAATTGTCAAAAATATTTGGAGATTGTTATGTTAAAAATCTGTTTCTCCACTGGAGGAAATACTGTTCCCCAGGGGGGCACTGAGGAATTCAGAGTCACATGGGAGGTGTCAGGAGAGGCCAGGGATGCTCTAAACATCCTATAAAGCCCAAGACACAGGCCACCACAGAGAACACACTGGACCAGAATGTCAATAGTGTCAAGATTGAGAATTTTTGAGCTGAAGAATATGTGTATTTTCATATTTATAGCTACCTTTAGGTTGTTTTCCCAACATTGTAACAGTTCCCATTTCTGCCAGCAAAATTAGAGAAACTTCTTTTGCTAGCTTTTAAAAAAAATCCAACCTAACCAGCACAAGAGATCTTTACATTGTGTCACAGGCTGAGTGTGCAAGAGATTTCTTGTTCTTTTCTTAAACCATTACTAAATTTGAGCAAATATTTATGTACTTGATCACCATGTTCATTATTAGATTCCCCTGATTACTATATGTCCATAAACTCTATGTCTATTCTGCAGTTAGCAGTATTTCAAATGCAATTCACAGACTATTATTTATTGACTTTTGGTTAGATATATTGTCTATAAAAAGTTTTAAATTTTATATAGGAAATATGACTGTCCATGGGAAGCTTGATAATTGGAATGTCAGGTAGCATTTTACATTGTTTAGGGGAGTGATCATTGATCTGGCCAGCCTGAGTTACAGCCACTCCAGGTTCATCCTTGGATCTGGGGATGAAGAGTCATGGTAAGAACACAGCCCAGGGAGCAATGAATTGGGGTGTGTGTAAGTGTGTGTCTGTGCATGTGTGTGTGTGAGTGCTTTGTGGAGTGAGAAGAGTCCAAGAGATAAGGTTCACAGACTAATATATTCCAAGGTGACTCTCATAATACAGAGACCAAAACTCAATCACCAGATGGTACTCAGGAGGGGCTCTATTTCAATTTAAAGGATGCCTTTGCAAGTAGATTATAAAATACAAGAAGTATATAGTGTGGGTGAGTGACTCCTTTTTCTTGAAGTTTAACCAGCAGCAAAGTGACCTGTGTCCTTGACAAAGCAGGAAAAAATATGCAATGGAAAAAAAGACAATCTCTTCAATAAATGGTGCTGGGAAAATTGGACAGCTATATACAGCAGAATGAAACTCGACCATTCTGTTACACAATACGCAAAGATAAACTCTAAATGGATAAAGGACCTCAATGTGAGACAGGAATCCACCAAAATCCTAGAGGAAAACATAGGCAGTAACCTCTTTGACGTCAGTCACAGCAACTTCTTTCAAGACATGTCTCCAAAGGCAAGGGAAACAGAAACAAAAATGAACTTTTGGGACTTCTTCAAGATAAAAAAAAGCTTCTGCACAGCAAGGGAAACAGTCAACAAAACAAAGAGTCAACCCACAGAATGGGAGAAGATATTTGCAAATGACACTACAGACAAAGGGCTTATATCCAAGATCTATAAAGAACTTCTCAAACTCAACACCCAAAAAAGAAATAATCAAGTCAAAAAATGGGCAGAAGACATGAACAAACACTTCTCCAAAGAAGACATACAAATGGCTAGCAGACACATGAAAAAAAAGGTTCATCACAATTAGCCATCAGGGAAATTCAAATCAAAACCACATTGAGATACCACCGTACACCAGTTAGAATGGCAAAAATGGACAAGGCAGGAAACAACAAATGTTGGAGAGGTTGTGGAGAAAGGGGAACACTCTTATGCTGTTGGTGGGAGTGCAAGTTGGTGCAGCCTCTGATATATTATTAATATGTTTATTTGTCTCTGTTCTTTCTCCATCATTGGATTATAGTGGCTTTTGGTATTCAGGATCCTGTACTCATGGCTAACCATTGTCTGGACCATGTTTGATACTCAATACATATTCCTCGAATGCATGAAAGATATTCTCAATAAAACAGTAGAGTGCATGACCTCTGGGGTGAGGAGGGAAATGAGACAAAATGCCTAATCAGAGATGGAACAGGAGGGAATCTCTTCGGGGGGACAGTACCTACACAAGATACCAAAATTAACTTCTTAACTCTAAAATATAAATTGTCGCATTTCAACTATGTGAGCTATGCTATTCATGAAAAATTAATGATGTCTTTTTTCTCTTTCCTGATAGTCAGTGCAACCACATGCAGTCAGGCAATGATACAAGGATATCAGAATTCCTTCTTCTGGGATTTTCAGAGGGACCAGAACAGCAGCCCCTCATATTTGGGCTCTTCCTCTCCATGTACCTGATCACTGTGCTTGGAAACCTGCTCATCATCCTGGTTGTTGTCTCTGACTCCCATCTCTACACCCCCATGTACTTCTTCCTCTCCAATCTGTCATTTGCAGACATCTGTTTCACCTCCACCACCATCCCCAAGATGCTGTGGAACATCCAGACTCAGAGCCAAGTCATCACCTATGCAGACTGCATTACACAGATGTACTTTTTCATCATCTTTTCAGGGTTGGATATCTATCTTCTGGCTGTGATGGCCTATGACCGCTTTGTGGCCATCTGTCACCCCCTGCAGTACATGGTCATCATGAACCCCCGGCTCTGTCTACTGTTGGTACTGGTGTCCTGGCTCACGAGTGTCTTGCATTCCTTGTTACAGACCTCAATGGTGTTGCGGCTGTCCTTCCGTACAGAGGTGGAAATCCCCCACTTTTTCTGTGAACTCAATCAGATGATCCAACTTGCCTGTTCTGACACCTTTCTCAATAACATGGTGATGTATTTTGCAGCTATGCTGCTGGCTGGTGGTCCCCTTTCTGGGATCCTTTACTCTTATTCTAAAATAGTTTCCTCCATTCATAGAATCTTTTCAGCTAAGGGCAAGTATAAAGCTTTTTCTACCTGTGCATCTCACCTCTCTGTTGTCTCCTTATTTTTTTGTAGCAGCCTAGGAGTGTACCTTAGCTCTGCTGCTCCCCAGAGCTCCCACTCAAGTGCAGTAGCCTCGGTGATGTACACGGTGGTGACGCCCATGCTGAACCCCTTCATCTACAGCCTGAGGAACAAAGACATAAAGAGGGCTCTGAAAAGAATCATTGGGGTTCCAGTGATGTAAGGACCAGTGGTCCTGGGGCTGAAGAAGTTCCCATGACTGCAGGGCTCAGTCTCAGAGCCAGGAACTGCCATTCTTCAATCAGCCTGTGGAAGTAGAATCTGCCCCTTCTATTTATTTTCTGGAATTTCCATTTGTTTGAATTCAACTTCCGCATTTGTTTAAGTACCTCACTTTATTAAGCTCCTGCTCCTGCTGATAAACTTCAATAATAATCATGAATTCTGTCCCCAAATATCTGTACAAATGCCTAGAATGGGAAGAAGTAGACTCATAATTTCTCTCAGTTCTCGTTGTTTTTATAATTGTGTCTCTTCGCTAGGACTGTATAACTAGCCATTCTGAAAACATGTGTCTTTATATAACACTTTTATTATCAAATGAGATTGTCTGGTGGGGAGTTGTTCTGACCTATTCTGCACTACTTATCATTCTCTACCTTGTATTTCTAAAGGTCATCCACGATGTTGTGTGGAGCTGTTGTTCACGTCTTTCTTCAACTAAAAGATGATATTTATTTAATTTATATATGTAGGTTAATCTTACAGTTTATGGAAAAAATAATTTACCAAATGCAAATTGCCTTAATTGCATTCTGCTATTTCTATACCCACATGTGACACTTTGCCTTCTTCCCAGTTACAAGACATTTCTCCCACCCCTGTCAGATGTGACTCAGGTATGGGTGCTTTTGACCCAGTATGAGTCATACACCATTAGAATTTTAAATTCTCACTAATTTATTAGAGTATGATTACATAGAGTAAGCTGCACATATATTAACTGTACATTTTACTGAAATAAAGGCGCCATACTTGAATTAAGCATACCTATTGTACGGGTCCATTTGTAAGAACTTGAGAAGAGGCACAGGAAGTTTTATCTGCATTTTTATGTTATTGTTAAAAATGTAATTGACCTGGACATCCATTTCCTTATTTCTGAAGGTAATGTGGAACTTGAAATGAAAGTGGTGAGGAATAAATAAAATGCTGAATATACTTTGTTGAGTCCAAAGAAAAGATTTGATAGGGAGGAGTGTGTGTATGTATGTGAGTGTGTGCACTCATGCATGTCTTTCTTTCAAATAAACATGCTCACACACACACATACACACACTGGTTTATAATCCCAACTATTATGCTGAAAGAAAACTTGAGAGAAATTTGCTGAATATTGTAATGAAAAGGAATGTTTGCATGAATGTGGAATAGAAAGAATGTAGAAATTTTGACACAAAGATTTAAAGTAGAATGAGTGGGGTCGCCTGGGTGGCTCAGTTGGTTAAGCAACTGCCTTCGGCTCGGGTCATGATCCTGGAGTCCCGGGATCGAGTCCCACATTGGGGGGGCCCTGCTCAGCGGGGGGTCTGCTTCTCCCTCTGACCCTCTTCCCTCTCGTGCTCTCTGTCTCTCATTCTCTCCCTCAAATAAATAAATAAAATCTTTTAAAAAAATAAAATAGAATGAGTGGTTAATGTAAAAAAAACCTTAGGATGGGGTACCCAGGTGGCGCAGTCAGTGGAGCATCTGACTCTAGGTTTTGGCTCAGGTCGAGATCTCATTGTTGCCCGATCGAGCCCCACATCAGTCTCCATGCTCATTGTGGAGTCTGCTTAAGTTTCTCTCTTTCTCTCTCTGCCACTCCCCTCCCTCACTCTATCTCTTTCTCTCTCAAATGAATAAATAAATCTTTTTTAAAAAGCCTTTAGGGTGACTTAATTTTAGTAATGAATTACTTTTCCTATCTTAAGGCCTCAAAGGCCTCAAAATCAGAACCATTTTGCATTTATGCAGTGGAAAATTCTCTGTACCATCTGATGGGGCCAAATATCTGCAAATTCACTCTAATTTCTCTATTTAATGTGGGATTTCAACACAAAATTCCCAAGGGAAGCTAACTGAATTATTTAAGAGGCTCAAACTCAGTTCCTGCAAACAATATCTTATTGGATAAATATCTATATTAGATTCCTTTCACTGTTGTCACAAATCACCTCACTAGTGTCTAAAAACAAATAATTCTCTGAAAGTTTTAGAGATCAGAAGCATGAAAGGGGTGTCATTGGACTAAAATAATGATAGATATCTATCTATCACTGGCTCCATGGGTTGGAGGTAACTACCAGGATATAGAAAAATAAATGACTAATTTCACACAAACAAGTGTTTTTATAACCTAGCAAAAGTGCTACCACATATATTTTAGAGTCAGGAAATTAATTTCAATGTGTGTGTGGTCTCATCCCCATTAGGGCATCCCTAGCACCAATTCATATCAGGAATTCTGTATCCACCTCAGTCTGTTCCTCAAGCATAATGTAGAGTCTTGATTCCTTGAGAATATTTTTCATTCCTTTAAGGGATACATACTGAGTATTGACCGTGTTCTAGGCACTGTATAGGCAATGAATATAGGGTGCTGATAAAAATGTCCTTACAATCCTATGACAGAGAAAGAATATAAGCAAATACTAACAATCAAATCACATGTCAGATAGTGACAGGGGCTGTGAAGACAAAGAAAGCGGGTATAAAGAAGAGTTGATGGGGTGTTATTTTTTTCCTGGACGTCCACACGAGACTTGCAAAGAAGGTGACATGTGAACAGGACCTCGAGGGAGATAAGAAGGGAGATTATCTCAGGAAGTGTGCACCCAGCAGGGGCAACGGCTAGTGTTAAGGCCCTGAGGAAGCTGTTTGATTCAGAAAATCAAGGCTCAAAAGAAAACCAGGGTGTCAAGGGGAAGGAGAAGAAGGAGACAGATGAGAGGTGGTGACAGGGCATGTTGAGGAAGGAACCAGCCACCCCACTATGGCTGAAACTTCAAGACACAGGAATCCCTCACTTTATTAATTTTGCAAAACTTTCTTAATTTTGTTATAAAGGTGTCCCATGAGTTGAAATGCACACCCACATCAGTAACTTCTGTTGATTGAGTTCTGGCCTCTGTCAATAAGAGTCACTTTGGAATATGTGAGCCCTAGTACCCCGACTGTGAGGACTGCCCTCAGTTCACAACACACACACACACGCACACACACACACACACACACACACAATGGTCTCCTGGGCTACCAACTGCCATGCCTTTTTTACCCCCAGCCACACTAGTTAGGCCAGCAGCAGATACACATCAAGATTGCCTGATCTCATTATCTTTCCCCTAAAGAAGTGTTACCCAGAAATTCCTACGGACAATAAACTTGGGGATACCTATTGGTATGCTCATTTTCTGATGTCAATTTAAATAAACATGGGCAATCTGTTCAGTAAAGACAGAGAGAAAAGAGAGGAATGACATGGACATGAGTGGGAAAACAGATCTAATAGTGCAGGTCGCCCTCGAGAGACCAACCAGGAAGAATAAAAAGCATCTTTGGTTCTGGTGAAATTCCTGCTCTCCTTAGATCCCCTTGATGCCCAGCAAAAATAATAAAGGAACAAAAAGACAAAAGTAGTGATATTTTCATGGTGTGAAACATGTTATATTTTTTTCTTTAAATTTATTATTGTTATGTTAATCACCATACATTACATCAATAGTTTGTGATGTAGTGTTCCATGATTCATTGTTTGTGTGTAACACCCAGTGCTCCACACAGACTGTGCCCTCTTTAATACCCATCACCAGGCTAACAGATCCCCTTACCCCCCTCCCCTCTAGAACCCTCAGTTTGTTTTTCAGAGTCCATCGTCTCTCATGCTTGGTCTCCCCCTCCGATTTACCCCCCTTCATTCTTCCCCTCCTGCTATCTTATTTTTTTGCTTAACATTTATCACATTACTAATTTCAGAGGTACAGATTTGTGATTCAACAGACTTGCACAATTCACAGCGCTCACCATAGCACATACCTTCCCCAATGCCTATCACCCAGCCACCCCATCCCTCCCACGCCACCCCCACTCCAGCAACACTCAGTTTGTTTCCTGAGATTAAGAATTCCTCATATCAGTGAGGTCATATGATACATGTCTTTCTCTGA